CTCCACATTTCTGCATCCCGAGAAGCCCGGGGCCGCCAATACCTTCCCACCTGAGAAGGGACCCGAGTCACACTCTCCACCACCTGGCATCTTATCCCCTCGCCTGAGGACTCACCCCTGCAAAAGCCTCCCAGCCTGGTCCCCGGGAGGGACGGGAGCCCAGTCCCCCAAAGTGTGACAGGGGGCCTGAAGGTGAGGAGGGGCACCCCCACTTCTACCCTTTGGTCCCACATTCATATCATCCACAGACTGTGGAGATGGAAGCCTATAATGTTATTGATTAAGACAGGAGCTGCGAAACCTGCAGAAGACAATAAATGTGTTCGTCTCTTCAGGCCTTTTGGCGAATGTCTCTGTGCACCTCCACGTTTGTGGTGTGACAACAGGCAAAGACAATGTGAAAAACCAAAGGAATCCCTCTGACCACTGCCCTGGTTTGCGAACCCCAGCACTGGGTGACTCGTCACCTGGGGAATTATCCAGGGGCTGCCTCGGCTGTCTGTTCACGAATCACAGCCCTGCCCGGTCCTGCCTGTAGCCTCTGGTGGTGGGGATGTGACAGGAGGGTGGGTCCTGCAGTCACGGGCTAGCGCCCCCTCCTCTGCTGTAGACTGGCTTCCTCGGTCCCAGGGGCCACAGGGACACTGTATGAGGCCACAGAGGTGGCAGAGGATCGGGGAGTCACAGCATTTCTGGGGTCAGGGCTCGGTCTCCTGCTGGTCACCTTATTTATCCCCTGTGGCCCTGCTTATGCCAAACCACACAGTCACTTCTATGCTAGGACAGCTGGCCTCTCAGTAATGATTACCGAGTGGATGAGCCCAGTTCATCAAGACCAGAGGTCCCTTCTCTACCAGACTCAGGACCATATCAGTAGCCATGTTTAAGTGATTGGCTTTCTCCACTACACGTGGTGTGACCGAGCCTCTGACCCTGTGGTGCTGGGTTGTGATGCTCTGATGAGGATGTCACAAGCTGTCCCTGGGCGAGGGCATGGCAAGCCACTCTGGTATTCTTGCCCGGAGAATCCCATGGACAGAGGGACCTGGTGGGCTACAGTCCATAGGGTCGCAAAGAGTCAGACACGACTGAAGTGACTTAGCAGGCAGGCAGGTTACCCCCGGCACGATTTCCCCCGCTGACGGACTTCAGTGTCATGGGTGCTACAGGGTCTTAGTGTCCTAGTAGCAGATCCCATCACACTCATTCCTTCATGTCCTTTCCATGAACACCTTCCACAACTGAGTTAAGCAGGCCTCTGCAGAGGCCTCTGGCCTTCAAATTCCGAAATATTTAGAGTTTGGCCATTGATAGAAATGCTTTAGACCAGGCAGATATAAAATAGAGATGTGAAGGAATCACAGTCCTGCATGCTTTCAGGTTATGATTGTTCAAGAATCTCTGTCATTTTACCCAGAAAAAGGTGGTCTTGCAACATTCTATTTGTAGCAAAGGAAAGACAATATGAGAATGTACTCATACTTCTCAACTATGGCAGCCTTCACCCCATTCCTAACCACAGAGAGTTTTCCATCACTGGTTCAAATCCACAGAATGGGAAATAACCACTGTGTGGGTCTTCACACACCATGATACCCCTGCAAGCAGGATGCAGGACGGTTATGTATTCAATACCTTGTATCTCATGCATCACATTAATAGCAGTGGGGCTGTGATGATGCTTCAGATCCCTGGACATGATGCGAGTCACACACTGGGTCCACAGGAATGTGGGGTGGCTTCTGCATCCCAGTGTGCACTTACCTGAGTCAGTGGCCATGTGGCTTCCAAGGATGAATGGGGAAGGCCAGAGGACTGCTGCACTGTACTTGCCATGGTGATAAGAGGGCCTTCCTGCTGGAAACTGGCATCTCTCTCTAGTAATGGATTCTCGGTTCTGATAACTGGCTCAGTTCTAGAAACAGGGCCAAGTATCCAGACAAGCTGTTGGGATGGCTCTTCTCAGCATCCTGATCATCCAGCTTGTGTTTTATTTTCTTTTCGTTTCTGGGGTTTTTATTTTTTGGTCGGCTGCCTGGCTTTTGGGATCTTAGTTCCCTGACCAGTCATCAAACCAGGGCACCTGGCAGTGAATGCCCGGAATCCTAACCAGTGGACCAGCAGGGAATTCCTTTGTTTCATTCCTTTCCATCGTGCACTTTGTATCTAGGTTGGCCGCCCATCCAGGTTGTTTGCCTCTAGGATCGCCTTGTGCTGTGAACCAGCATCATACTCTCTGCGGTCAGGACCCGGCTGGCCTTCCCATCTCTCTGCTCATATCAGCCATTGCACCTGCTCTGTTCCTGACACCGTGAGCCCCCACCTGGAATCTGCATGTGCTCAATCCCTGTTTCTGATGAAGCCCACTGGAGACACCATCTCCGACCAGCATTCCTGACCTTTATTTGTCAAAGTCCTCCTGTGTTACCAGCCAGTGTTCTTGGACTCGATCAATAGAAGTTGATAAAAGGCCAGACACAGATTCAGGGGAAAAGAAGCTTCATTGGGACTCATGAGGGAGCAAAAACAAGTAACATGTTCCCTTGCTGGCTCCAGAGGGTGGGGGAGCCAGTCCCATGTATAAGATGAGGGTGGGGGTGGGTCCTGGGTTCCGACCAGGGGGATGACCTGGGTGGTTTGTTCCCCCTTGGTGGTGCTGTGTGCAGGGATCATGACCAGTACCTGCTTTTGCTCCTGTCTGCTCTGAAATCGCTTTGGGTTTTTGGTCTTTTTGTATCTTGTTGTTGATTATTTGCCCCAACTGCACAGGCACACAATTATTTTTAGCCCCTTATAATTTCTTTGTATTTTGATGGTTGATATGACTTTTGTCCAGGTACACTCACTGCAGCAAACTGTCCCAGCCTGTCTCATTACCCACTGAGGGGTTCTACACCCTTATTTTTAAGGGTTAAGGGGCCGAAGCTTTCTTCTATCCAAACTTCTCCCTGCTGGACAGGGACCACTGAACTGAGCCTCCCCTCAAGGTGCAGAAGTCCCTCACAGGGACCTACATGGATCTGGGCCACCCTCCACTGGAACGGGCTATATTCCTTGAGCCACCACAAGTGTTATTTCAAACTGGTAGATCCTACAGGCACAAAGTCAATCAAAAGGTTAAATAAACAAGGACTAGAAAGGATAGAACAACAATAGACATTAAAGGACCTAGAAAGGGAAGGAACCAGGTTAACTTTGAGAGGACTTTCTTTTTTTCTAAACTCTTGGTGGAGGCAAAATCTCCCATGACAAACTTGTGAAGCCCCTCTACCTGTATATTTGAGGTGGATAGTTACAACTTAATATAAGGTGCATATTTCCTTAATATTGATCTCAGAGAGACATCAGTGAGTGGTGCTAAAGAGGGAATCTTAGTTTCCAGCCCAGGAATTGAACCTAGGTAGCTTGGGGTAAAATGAGGAATTCTAGATACTAAACACCAGGGGCAAGATGCTAAGTTCCCTTGGCTCTTACTATCTTTCAAAGTAAGAATGTTTCAAGGAGGCAAAAGCTGTAAAAATAGGTACCAATGTTATTACTGGAGACATACAGAGAAACAGTTTATTTAATATGGAAGCAAAGCAGAAATATACACCCAGAGAGGAGTACAGGTGTCCTGAATGAGCAGCGGAAAGAAGCTAGGCTAGGGATTTCACATACACATACATGTCTCTATCTTCCCTGGTGGGTCAGCTGATAAAGAATTTGCTTGCAATGCAAGAGACCCGGGTTCGAACCCCAGGTTGGGAAGATCCCCTGGAGAAGAAAATGGCAACCCACTCCAGTACTCCTCTGCCTGGAGAATCCATGAACAGAGGAGCTGGCAGCTTACAGTCCATGGGATCCCACAGAGTCGGACATGACTGTGCAACTAAGCTTCTTTCACTTTCACTTTCGTACATGCATCTATTCTTCCCCGACTCCCCTCCCATCCCCACCCAGGCTGCCACATAACATTGAGCAGAGTTCTATGCGCTACACAGGAGGTCCTTGCTGGTTATCCATTTTAAATAAATCAGTGTCTACATGTTGATCCCAGACTCCCTAACTATCCTTTCCACCCATCCTTTCCCCCAGCAACCATAAATTCACTCTCTAAGTCTCTGAGTCTCTTTCGTAAGTAAGAGCACTTGTGTCATGACTTTTTGGATTCCGCATATAAGTGATGGCAAAAGGTGTTTCTGCTTCTCTGTCTGACGTATGTCGCTCAGTATGACAATCTCCAGGTCCATCCATGTTGCACATTTGGCATTATTTCATTCTTTTTGACGCTGAGTAACATTGCACTGGATATATGTCCACATCTTCTCTATCCATTCATCTGTCAGTGGACACGAGGTGGCTTCCAGGCCTGGCTGCTGTGAACAGCGCTGCCATGAACACAGGGTTCACGCATCTGCTCAGACCACATTTTCTCAGAAGCACCAGGTACATTTAATCCCATAAGGTGGACAAATGGTGAAATATCACGACTTCTCTCGTGAGAGAGAAACTTAAATACTGCAAGTTTTCTGGAGAACTGAGATTTTGATTTAAAAAGCAGCAGCATAATAAATGGGCTTCCCCAGTGGCTCAGATGGTAAAGAATCCGCCTGTCAATGCAGGAGACACAGGAGATGCGTGTTCAACCCCTGAGTTGGAGAGGTCCCTGGAGAAGGAAACAGCATCCCACTTCAGTGTTCTTGCCTGGAGCATCCCGTGGACAGAGGAGCCTGGCGGGCTACAGTCCACGGGGTCGCAGAGAGTTGGACAGGACTGAGCGACTAACACTTTCACTTTCAGCATAATAAATTATTAAGGGAGACAGTCATAAATAAAACTTCGCTTTATTGAAAATAAGCTGAGGTGGTTTCTCCAGACACAGAAAGAATCCGTGAGTTGTATAATAGCAAATGGTATTTTTCTTGCAATATCATTTGCAAGAATGAGGTCACGAGGCACAGAAGAGTCAAACTATCCACAAACTAGAATACGATGAAAAATGTCCTGTTTCTGGAGATTTCTTCAAGTACTTGAATATTTCAGTATAGGCATTCCATCACGTATCACCAAAAAAAAGCGGTGAAATAAATTGTTTCTGTTTTTGTTTTTCAAGATGCTGAGTAGGATTTCATCAAATGTGATAAAGGCCATGAGATGATGCATCTACTGTGTCACAGCAACCGGATAACATGCTTAGGATTCATGGGGTCTGATCTCTTGGATCTAAAGAGAAGAACAAGAAAAGGCAGACAGAGCACCTGTTGGGCTTCCTGGGAGCACCATCTCCTGCAGAAAAGAAAGAGGTTGATCCAGGAGTGTGAGGAACTCCTGTCACTTTCCTGGGGCTGCCCCTCTCCAGCCCCCCCAGCCCCGCCCTCACTGAGGGGCTCCTATGTCCCTCACCCCCACCCCAGGGCCAGCAGCTTCTCCTCCCCTCCTCCTTCCTTCCTGCATCACAGTCACCCCAGGCCCTGACACCCTCTGCTCAGGCTCAGGACTGGAGCCAGTGAGGAATCAACCTGCTCCCTTACTCAGGTCCGGATCCTCCCCGAGGGGGGCCTAAAGGGCCAGGGAGCAGGTCCCTGGAGGAGGGGCCTTGCTTCCTGACAGCCTTGGGGGGCTGCAGGCAAACCTCCTTCCTTCGCTCCCCTCCAGCCTCTGAGCCAGCAGCACACACAGCTCTCAGGACCAGGGTCCCTGCCCCCATCTCCTCCTGGTCCCGCCCAGCTGGGCGCCTCCACCCCAGCTCAGGCCCACCATCCCCAGGACCTCTGCTCAAGGCAGGGCCGCTCAGTGATGGAGGCTCTGGGTCCCCAGGAGGCTGGTGACGGGCAGGCCACAGGCGGAGTGAGAACTGCTGCTGCTCCAGGGGCACAGGCCTGGCCTCGCCCCTTCCCACAGTCTCTGCTGTGGGGCTCCTGCCTTGCCTGCTTGGCCCAAGCCACTTCCTGTGAGAACAGGCCTTTGGAGCTGGGTCTGCATAGGCCTTCCCAGCCCTTCCTCCTGGGATGAGAGCCCGGCCCCTCTCATCTTGGCCCCTGGGTGGGTCCCCTGGGTCCCCTCCCCGCTGACACGTCATGAGGAGCCCCATGCTGCTCTCAGCCCCGGGAGTCCTGCCCTCGCCCTGAGCGCCTGCTGTTCTCACACCACCCGCCCTGGGCCCTGCCAGCCAGCGGTCTGTGCGCAGTCAGGCGGACGTCGCTAAACCCTTTCAGCATCAATAGGCCCTCAGCCTAGTGCGGGCCCCTCCCTTTTCACAATGTCTGCTGACAGTGGGGACCTCTCAGAACTGAGGGCTGAGCTTGTCTGAGTTCTGCTCTCAGGTGATATGGGGTCTTATTCACCTGCTCATTTCCAGGATGAGGAGGTTCAGTGAGGGGCAGGGGTCAGCTCGGGTTTACCTTCCTCCTCCTCACACCAGGCCCTGTGCCCCTGCCTTCCCTCTGGATTCTGCCCTCAGTACCTGCTCCTGGAAAGGACTCAGCCCAGGAAGACAGTTATGAAGAAACTGGTGAGGAGCATGGGGAGGATCGAGGCTTTGGACTTGACGGCTGTGGCCGTGGGCTGGACTGCAGAGGGGCCCGTGGTTGGTGATGCTGCAACGAGAGTAAGAGTGACGCCCTTGTCCAGACCCCAAACTCGGCAGATGCCTCCTCGCCCCCCTGACTCAGGTACCCCTACTGTGCAGACAGTTTACACCCATCACATGGAGGCCCCAGTGATAGATCCTCAGATAAGATGGGGGGAAGGGAGGAGCCCAGTCCTTACGGGGCTCTGACAGCTAATGGGGGAGCAGGTTTCCAACACAGTCACTCAGTCCAGCTGTGACATCAGAGACAGTGACATGAGGATGGAGTCCTCAGGACCTGACAGCAGAGGTGGTAGTGACAGATTTCCAGAAGGAGGACTGGTGACATTTAAAAGAAGGTTCTGGAAAGAGGGTACAGTGAGAAATAAATCCCACAAATCACAAAAATGTCTACAGGTTTGGGATCAGCAAAAATCCATGTTCAATCGTCCAAAGGCCTGTACTGTGAGGAGAGACGTCAGGAGATGGAAGAGGAAGAAGGATGACTGAGTATCCCCGGGTCATTGTTCTCCCAGGACAACTCACTTTATTTCTTTTTTTACATTCTTTTCTTTTACTTTTTTTTTTTAATACCAAAACCACTGTGTATTGGGATATCGCTGATTAACAATGTTATGATAGTTTCAGGTGAACCATGAAGGGATTCAGCCATAGATATACATGTGCCCCTTCTCCCCTAAGCCCCTCTCCCATCCAGGCTGGCACATAACATTGAGTAGAGTTCCATGTGCTATACAGTGGGAGCTTGCTGGTTATCCATTTACACATAACAGTGTGTACATGACCTCCTCAAAGTCCCTAACTACCCCTTCCCCCGGCTAACCATAAGCTTGTTTTCTAACCCTGTGAGTCTCTTTCTCTTTTGTAAATTTTTTTGTACTATTCTTTTAGATTCCACATATAAGGCATGTCATATGATATTTCTTCTTCTCTTTCTGACTTACATCACTCAGTATGACACTCTCTAGGGCCATGCATGTTTCAGGAACAGCTAATTTTAGATGGATCACTTTCCCAAAACACACACACACAGACACACAACAGAAGACTGGGTCCCTGTCACTGTGAGTGGACTACCACTTCCTTATACTCATCTCACTTACCTGTGGTCTTCAAAAATTTCTCCCAGGGCACCATAAAATCCTGAAGCCAGGCTAGACAGTCTCCCATGGAGACCTTCTTGAAGAAGCTAGTCACAGCTCTGTCTTTCTCCCACTTCTCTTTCATCTGTCTCCCTCCAGGATGAACCTCTGTCCAGTGTCCGTTCTCTGAATCAAAGACGAGGCAAATTTGTCGATTGAAGCCGAACTGCCAGGATCCACTGATGTATCCATCCTCTTCACACCAGCATGTCATCCTGGCCTGCAGGGTCAGAGGGCCTGACCCCACTGAGGAAAAGAAAGAGCTCAGCCCCTGGGCTTGAAAATTCTTTGCCCCACTTGGGTCCATCTCCCCTGGTCCTGGCTAATCTGGCCCTGTTTTCTCCTCCAAGGCCTACTTCTTTCACTGGACTACTAGGGAAGGACCAATATCCAATTTTATGTTTTACCCATAAACAATGGATGCAGCTAAGCCCCCAGTTTGGTCCTCCAGTATCTGGATTTCCTAACACTCCTGGACTCGATGGACATGAGTTTGATTTGATAGACATGAGTTTGAGCAACATTTGTGAGTTGGTGAAAGACAGGGAAGTCTGGAGTGCTTCAGTCCATGGGTTTGCTAAGAGTCGGACATGACTGAGCGACTGAACTGAACTGAAATGAACTCACCCCTGGCTGTGTGTTTCTCAGGTATAACGTCAGGCAGTTGCTCCTTGAGCAAGTCCCCGATGTCTCTAAGTGTTTCCATCTGTGTTTCCCAAGTGTTCGTAGTTTTCACCTCCTCTCCCAATGGACTTGTGGATTGGATCTTGGCGCCACCACAGTCATAGGAGAGAAAAACATTCCCATCTACATGGCCTTGAACCACACACCATGGCTCTTCAGGTCTCGGCTGAGGATTGACGGTGAAGTTATAGCAAAGAGAGTGAGTGCCTGTCAAGGAAAACGCAAGTGAGGGCAGGGATGGGAGAACAAGACCCATTACGTCCTCCCCCCACTTACGTGAGAGCAGAGTAAAGCTGCAGGGCTGGGTGGGCAGAGCAGGAAGGCGCCCCCTGGCCCCCACTGCTTACAGGCTGAGCACGTGCTGAACCCACATAACATTATGTCTACTCTGCTTGTAAGTTCAACACAGAACCCAAAGCTGGAGAAAGGAGAATTCATAATTAGGGGTCACAGGAGTTAGCAAGGGTGGGGAGATGCTGCTGATCTACCGCTAGGATGGGTCTTAGAAGCCTGGAGAAAGGCCTGGCTCACATGCCATGAAAGAGACAATCCAGAACTTCTGAGGCAGGTGGCAGAGGAGAGGATCAAAGGCTCCACGAAGTGAATCTGCCAGGGCAGGCATGATATGAAAGGGCAGAAAAGTGTCCAGTCTACCACACTCAATGGGAAAGCCTGAAGGACTCATTGGAGCCCTAAGGAAAGAATGAATGAGAAGCATCTCCAACAGCTCAAGGATGACTTTTGGTGAAGGTCAGGGATGGTGGTAGGAGATGGTGTTCCTGTGGGCTTCCAGCAGGAGTAAGGATGGAGAAGGTGGAGAGAGCTGATGCCAGGGGGAGTGCTCTATTTCAGAAACAAAGTAGATGCAGTGGTCAAAGTGCCTGGAGAGTCAGGCACTGACTGCAGAGAGTACGATGCTGGCTCATAGCACAGGGCGATCCCAGAGGCAAACAGATGAGCAGTGAACCTGGTTACAAACTACACGATTGAAAGGAAAATACACACAAACACACACACACACACACACACAGAAACTCATGGCTGGATAATGAGGAAGCGGAATGTAGACATCCCAACAAAATGTCCAGATCCTTTGCCCAGTTTCCAGCACTGAGTCAGGTCTTATCCTCAGAATCCATTACTAGAGATAGACATGCCAGGCATCAGCAAGGCCCTCTTATCACCACAGCAAATGCAGAAGTCCTTCTGCCTTTTGGAAGCCACATGGTCATTGACTTGGGTAAGTGTACACATAGGAGAGAAACCACCCCCATATTCATAAGGACCTAGAGTGGGACTGACATCATGTCCAGCAATCTGAAACATCACCATGGCCCACCTGTTATTACTGTGGTGCCTGAGATCTGTGGTTAGGAATACACATCTGTCCCTTGTCCTGCCCACAGGAGTGCCACTGATTCACTGATTCACAGAGTGCTCATTTCACATCCATTGCATTTGCAATATGAATGAAAAATCTTCAGAGTTAGTAAATTACCATGGGGTGAGGGCTACCATAGATGCAATTTCCAAGTTCACACTTCTGACACTGACCAACATCCCCCAATAGTATGTGTAAACAATATCATATCCTGGAGAATATGATAGACAGGAGTACCAACCTACAACCTCTCCAGGGCTGCAGGAATGTCATCCCTATCCTATCTCCATTTAACTCTCAGTTGCCACAGCAAATGGTGGCTGCAGCCATGAAATTAAAAGATGCTTGCTCCTTGGAAGAAAAGTTATGACCAACCTAGAGAGCATATTGAAAAGCAGAGACAATACTTTGCCAACAGAGGTCTGTCTAGTCAAAGCTATGGGTTTTCCAGTGGTCATGTATGGACGTGAGAGTTGGACTATAAAGAAAGCTGAGCACCGATGAATTGATGCTTTTGAACTGTGGTGTTGGAGAAGACTCTTCAGAGTCCCTTGGACTGCAAGGAGATCCAACCAGTCCATCATAAAGGAAATCAGTCCTGAATATTCATTGGAAGGACTAATGCTGAAGCTGAAGCTCCAATACTTTGGCCACCAGATGCCAAGAAATGACTCATTTAAAAGGATCCTGATGCTGGGGAACATGGAAGGTGGGAGGAGAAGGGGAAGACAGCATGAGTTGGTTGGATGGCATCACTGACTCAATGGACATGAGTTTGAGTAAACTCTGGGAGTTTGTGATGGACAGGGATGCCTGGTGTGCTGTGGTTCATGGGGTTGCAAAGAGTTGGAAAGGACTGAGTGACTGAACTGAACTGAACTGTGGCCCATAGATTCCTGTAACAGTACATATGAAATGTTTCAGGCTCGGCAGATCATAGGTTTCTGTTACAACTGTTGTCCTTGCACAAAAGCAGTCACAGATGATTGGTGAATGATGACCTGCTTCTTGGGCAGATGATCCAGCAGAACCTGTGACATCAGAAGTATCTGTTGTCAGAAAGGTGCTTTGTGCAGTATATGGCAATTTCCTTGAAGGTTCAGATCTTAGACTCTTTATGTCCTGAGGAAAAGCCATGCCATTTGCAGTGGGGAATACTACATCATTTGCATGTGGCTCCTGGTACGGCCCTGAGGGCTGGTCGAAATGAGGCCTCTGGTCGTGGAATGTCAAATTTGTCCATCATGATCTGGGCTTATCAACCCCTAATCATTAGTTCAAATAGACCAGCCATCATAGGATTGAAGTGATATTGTGGTTTGGCATAAGAAGGGCCAGAGGCAACAAATAAGATGTAGCAGCAGGTGGCCTAGGCCTGACATCAGAATTGTAGCAATATCATTCTCTGGGGCCTGCCCCTGTGGCTCAGCGGTAAGGAATCGTCCTGCAATGTAGGAGTAGGAGTAGATATGGGATCTATCCCTGGGTGAGAGAAGATCCCATGGAGGAGGGCATGACAACCCACTCCAATATTCTTGCCTGGAGAATCTTGGATAGAGGCCCCTAGTGCCCTATATATAGTTGATAGAATCACAACGAGTTGGACATGACTGAAGCGACTTAGCATGCACACACTACTCTGCTCATGCCTGAGGCTTCATGCAGTGTCCCCGATATCTCCAGGGACCAATGAAGGCACCCTACAGCAGAGGGGGTCAGGGGACATTAGCCCATATCTGCTGGACCCACACTCCTTTCACGTTCTTGTACCCAGAACCTCCAAGGCAGGACAGAGCAAGTTTCTGGTTTACAAAGAGGCAGCTAAGGCACCCCTTGGGGGAGTCCCTAGGGGTGAGTCATCCATTACTGTGGTGTGACCCAGGGCAGCCACTCGGTTCTTCTGGATTTTTGAGGTCGTCTTTGCCTGCTCTTGTACCACAGATGTGGAGATGTATAAAGCACACAGACATCAAACAGCCTGTTGAGACCAACAGATTTACTCTGTCTTTTGAAGAAAGGGTTCTCCAACTCCTGTCTTAATTAATAGCTACTATAGGCCACTGTCTCCATAGTCTCAGGGAAGATGAATGTGTGACCAAAGGGTAGAAGTGGGGTGCCCTGTGTCACACACTTCGGGAAACTCTTCTCCCATCTCTCCTGCTTTATGTCCAGGGGGTCAGGCTGGGAGGCTTCTGCTGGGGTGAATTCTCAGGCAAGAGGATAGGGTGCCAGTTGACAGAGGGCATGTTTAGGATCCCTTCACAGATGGGAAGTTGTTGGAGGCCATGGGCTTCACAAGAAGGGGAGAGATGCAGAAAAATAGTGTTGTAAGCAAGCAGGACTCTAAGGAGGCTTCCTAGGACAGACTCCACCCATCTCCCCCGCCCTCCCTCCCGCACTGAAAACCCCGGACTTTTGCCCAAGTGGCTGACTCCACCTAGACTCTTGCCCATCTTGCCCCACCTCCCCTGCTGCCAACGCAACGGGTCAGACTCCTCCCAGCCTTCCCCTGACCTCCGTGGCAGGGACGGCCGCCACCTTTCCTGCCCCCGCTTCAGTGGCTCCGAATTCCCTACGGGCGGGCCGATTTCCTGGCGCCGCGCTGGCTCCCACTTCTACCTGCTTCCCCTCCCTTCCAGCTGGGAATCCTTTTTCACCCAGACCGTATCTTTCCCCTGCCGGGGTTGGGGGCCGTTGGGTGGGGGTCCGCAACCAGCCGGGGAGTCGGGGCGGGGGAGCAGGAGTGCAGCAGGAAAAGAGCGCGCGGAGCTTTAAAAGCAGGGAGGCGACGTCGCCGCGCCGTTCCCCGAACTCCCGCGGACACCCCCATCCTTCTCGGGGTCTTAAGGCCCTGTGTCCGCTCCCCGCAGGTTAATCCCCGAACTCACCGCCTCGCGCCTTGCAGACCCTGCTGCTGCTGCTAAGTCGCTTCAGTCGTGTCCGACTCTGTGCAGCCCCATAGACGGCAGCCCAACAGGTATCTCCGTCCCTGGGATTCTCCAGGTAAGAATACTGGTGTGGGTTGCGATTTCCTTCTCCAATGCAGAACCTCAGAGACCCGATTAGAAACTTCAGTGGGTCGCCATGCCCTCCTCCTGGGATCCTCCCGACCCCGGGGTCGAAGCTGGATCTCCTACATTGAAGGTAGAGTCTTTACTGACTGAGCTACGAGGGAAGCCCTGCTTTTCTTAAAAGACTCAAGATTTCCACGCCACCCAGCACCCCACAACCACCCACACAGGAGAACTCTGAGGATCTCTTGAAAGGGCCTGAAGACAGCCCTTAACTGCAGTGTCATCAGCAATATGTTTTCTAGTAGTTTCTGCCCCAGAGTAGTCCTAGACCTTTTGTGGACCAAAGTGAAGTCGCTCAGTCGTGTCCAACTCTTTGCGACCCGGTGAACTGTAGCCTACCAGGGCCTCCGTCCATGGGATTTTCCAGGCAAGAATACTGGAGTGGGTTGTCATTTCCTTCTCCAGGGCATCTTCCTGACCCAGGGATCGAACCCGCGTCTCCCGCATTGGACACAGACGCCAAGTTTGTGGGCCAAAGTAACTGCTAATTAGAAAAAGTTTGAGGACTGAGGTCAGAACCTGAATCTTCAGGTTCGGCCTGGAGACCAGGATCCAGCGCTGCCCCTGGGCGCTACCCGACGGTCTCTTCCGGCTTCCTGTTCTATCTAGTGCCTTGGTGCATTCTAAGTCGCTTCAGTCGCATCTTGACTCCTTGGGACCACCATGGACTTTTGCCCACCAGGCTCCTCTATCCATGGGGATTCTCTAGGCAAGAATACAGGAGTGGACTGCAATGCTCTCCTCCAGGGGATCTACACTGGTAGCCTGTGTGATCCATTTTCTTCCCCCGCATAGTTTACTTTTATGCAGTGTCCAAGCAGCATTGAGTATCTCATGTTCACATCTCAGGGCTATCCGCTGATGAAGAGTGAGATCATCCATCACTCGTTGGGACTGACAAGCCTTCCTAATTCCTGGGAATTGGGTCTACCAAAGACATTGAGAGGTGAACGTCCGTGACAGAGTGACACATCTCTCTGTTATCATGGGGCCCTTGGCCTTTGCTAGCTTCAGGGGTGACTGAGCCCTGACCTCAGAGAGTCGTCCTGACACCTCAGCACCGGCAATGCTCCATTTCATGTCTTGTCACTGAGTGCAGCTGGGTTCCCTATTGATAGATGTGGAAATGGATGCGAGCAGTGTATTGAGGAAGTAGCAAGAGCATTCAGGTGGAGTTTCATGTTCTTGGAAGTATGCTCGTTGTGGATACACACTACAATCACCTCCCAGTTGATTCCACTCCCATCTGGGGTCTACTCTGTGTCCAGGTGCCAGGAGCCGCACAGGTGGGAGTGGCCAGGCCTGTCCAGAGAGGCCTGTCTTCTCTGAGCTGGCTGTCCAGACCAGGAATATAACGCTGTCCTTCTGTCTTTCTCCTGCTCTCCTAGTCACTTGCCTCTTCACCAGCCTCCTCCACTGGGGCTATGGGGTCCCCGTGTTGCCTCTTCCCAGAGATTAAACCCAGGCACCTGCCCCCCAGGCCTATGCATGAGTCTTCCCCTGACACATCCATCACCTGAACCCACCAAGGTGGGGCCCCACCCAAGCCTGTGTCCTGTCCTTCTCCCAGCCCCCATGTGTCTCTTATTCCCAAATTGTTACACACCAGGCTCTTGGCCTCCTTCATCAATAGAAATCAATCAGAGTCCAGACAATAGAAATAACTCAAATTTCTTAATCAAAAGAATTTGAGGCAGGCCTTCTTTGGGGCTCCTGCTGCAGCAGAGGGGAGTGAGAACAAATGACAGGTTCCTTGCTTGCTCGCTCTCCGAGGTGCTGGGGCGATCTGGTTCCTTCTACGCGGTGAGGGGAGGGGTGTGACCAGGGGTCAGTCAGAGGGGTGGCTTAGGTGACCGGCTGATCCCTGAAGTGCTGTCGTGTGCTGGGGGACTCTCCGAGGTGCTGGGGCGATCTGGTTCCTTCTACGCGGTGAGGGGAGGGGTGTGACCAGGGGTCAGTCAGAGGGGTGGCTTAGGTGACCGGCTGATCCCTGAAGTGCTGTCGTGTGCTGCGGGCATGTGAGGCATGCTGCTTTTGCTCTGGGCTCTTCAAAAGTGGCAGTTGTGTTTTTCATCTCTTTTTCATCTTTTTCCCAGAATTTGCTCCAAATACTCAACTAAAAACAGTCTAGTTTTATAAGACTTTTTGTTGTATTGGGTGTAGCTGATTAACAAATAGTGTTGGGATAGTTTCAGGTGAATAGCTAAGGGACTCAGCCGTATACATACATGTATCCATTTTCCCTGACAGGCAGCCACATAACACTGAGCAAGTTGTGAGTTCCATCTCTGTGCTGGGAAAATCCCCTGGAGAAGGAAAAGGAAACCCACTCCAGTATTCTTGCTGGAAAATTCCATGGACAGAGGAGCCGGCAGGGTACAGTCCATGAGGACAGAGAGAGTTGGACACACACAGAGTGCGCACACACAGACACACCATATGCCACACATAGGTCCTTGATGGTTATCCATTTTAAGTAGAGCAGTGTGTACATGACCTTCCCAAACTCCCTAACTATCCCTTTCTGCCTCCTTCCCCACAGCAGATGAAAGCTCATTCTTTAAATACGGGAGTCTGTTTCTGAGAATGTAAAACATCCTTATTGCTGATATGAACAAAGTTTTATGGGTCGGAATAGAAGATCCAACCAGCAACAATATTTTCTGAGGCCAAAGCCTAGTTGAGATCAAAGCCTTAACTCTCTTAGTTCCGATGAAGGGTAAGAGAGGTGAAAAAGCTGCAGAAGAAAAAATTGAAGATAGCAGGGGGGCGGTCCATGAAGTTTATGGAAAGAAGCCATCTCCATAAAATAAAGTACAGAGTCAGAGTGTAGTACAAGACCTGACATAGAAGCTTCCTCAAGTTACCCAAGAGATATAGCTGAGATAATCTATGAAAGTGACCACACTAAGTTAGACATTTGCAGCGTAGACAAAAGGGCCATCTATTGGAAGAAGATGCCCATCAGGACTTTGATACCTGGAGAGGAGTAGTCAATGCCTGGCTTCAAAGATTCCAAGAACAGGCTGATTCTCTTGATAAGGACTAATGCAGCAGATTACTGTAAGTCGATGGTCATTTATCACTTGGAAAATTCTAAGGCCCTTTAGAATTAGGCTGAATCTGTTCTGCCTGTGCTCTGTAAATGAAACAATGAAGCCTGGATGACAGAATATCTGTTTACAACATTGGTGGCCCAATATTTCAAGTCCACTGTTGAGATCTACTGCTCAGAAAGAAAGATTCGTTTCAAAATATTACTGCTGATTGACAAAGCATCCAAGAGCCTGATGGAGAAGTACAATGAGGCTCATGTTATTTTCATGGATGCCAACACTGTTAAAGAGTACTGCATGCTATGGATAAATCTGTGAAAAGAAGAGTCATAGGATGTGGAAAACCTCATTGTTGTCTTCTTTTCACAAATTGCCCTACCGACCCCAACCTTCAGCAACCACCACCCTGATCAGTCAGCAAACATAGGCACTGAGACAAGACCCTCCACCGGCAAAAACATGTTACCTCATGAAGGCACAGATGATGCTCAAACTACTTTAATTCAGAAACACAGCATTGTTAATTAAACTCTGTATATTATTTATCTAGTCATAAAGCTATTGCACACTTAACAGACTTCAGACAGTGTCAACAAAGCTATATACAAAGTGGGAAATTAAAGTTTGTTTGATTCTCTTTATTATGATATTCAATTTATTGCCCTGGTCTGGAAACCAGGCTGGAATATCTCTGAGGTTTTGCTGAATCTACATGGCTTTTGGTCCACATTTTCCATTTGGAACTAACACTGGGTTGACTGTGTAGTAGGAAGAGAGAATGATCTACCGTTGAGATACAGTGAAATAGACATCTCAGGACATTATTCAATTTTACTCCTACAAATGATATGAGAAAATTCCTGTTATTGCATTTCTGGTACCCCTTGATCCTGATTTATTAAAAAGGCTGTCATTTATATCAATATGTGAGGATATCACAGCAGTTTTTTTGTCGGGTTGATTATTCGGGATATGTTCAAACTTTTCACAGGTTTGCGCTTCTGTGAAGACCTACATGACGTTCTAGAACTAACACCAAAAAAGATGTCCTTCTCACCATAGGGGATTGGAATGAAAAAGTAGGAAGTCAAGAGATTCCTGGAGGAACAGGCAAGTTTGGCTTAGGCGTATAAAATGAAGGAAGGAAAAGGTTATTTAGTTTGCCAGAGAACATGCTAGTCATAGGAAAAATACTTTTCCAACAAAACAAGAGATGACTCTACACATGGACATGGCCAGATTGTCAATACTGAAATCAGACAGATTATATTCCTTGTAGCCAAAGGTGGAGAACCTCTATACAGTTAGCAAAAGCAAGACCGGGAGCTGACTGTGGCTCAGATCATGAGCTCCTTATGGTAAAATTCAGACTTAAATTGAAGAAAGTAGGAAAAACCACTAGGCCATTCAGCTATGACCTAAATTAAATCTCTTCTATTATACAGTGGAAGTGACAAATAGCTTCAAGGGATTATATGTGGTACACACAGTGCCTGAAGAACTATGGATGCAGGTTCATGACATTGTACAGAAGGTGCTGAGCAAACTATCCGCAAGAAAAAGAAATGCAAGAAGGCACAATGGTTGTCTGAGGAGGCCTCACAAATAACTGAGAAAAGAAGAGACGTGAAAGGAAAAGGAGAAAAGGAAAGATCTATCCATCTGAATGAAGAATGCCCAAGAATAGCAAGGAGAGATAAGAAAGGCTTCCTAGATGACCAATGCAAATAGAGGAAAACAATAGAAAGGGAAAGACTAGAAATTTCGTCAAGAAAATTGGAGATACCAAGGGAACATTTCATGCAAAGATAGACACAATAAAGGACAGAAACAACAAGAACTTAACAGAAGCAGAAGAGATGAAAAAGGAGTGGCAAAAATAGAAGTGCACAAAAAGATTTTAATGACCCGGATAACCATGGTGGTGTGGTCACTCATCTAGAGCCAGATATCTTGGAGTGTGAAGTCAAGTGGGCCTTAGGGAGAATTACTACGAACAAAGCTAGTGGAGGTGATGGAATTCCTGGTGAATGACTTAAAATCCTAAAAGATGATGCTGTTAAAATGCTGCACTGAATATGCACTCACTATTTGGAAAACTCCGCAATGGTCAAAGGACTGGAAACCGTCAGTTTTCATGTTCAAACTACCATAGCAGTATACACATTTCACAGCAAAGTCAAGCTGAAAATCCTTCAAGCTAGGCTTCAGCGGTATGTGAAGCAAGAATTCCCAGGTGTATAACCTGGATTTAAAAATGCAGAGGAAGCAGAGATCAAATTGGCAACCCCCGCTGGATCACAGAAAAGGTAAGGCAATTCCAGAAAACATCTACTTCTGCTTCATTGACTATGCAAGAGCCTTTGACTGTGTGGATCACAACAAACTGTGGAAAATTCTTAAAGAGACGGGAATACCGGACTACCTTACCTGTCTCCTGAGAAGCCTGTATGCAGGACAAGAAGCAATAGTCAGAACAAGACATGGAAGAATGGACTGGCTCAAAAATGTGAGGAGTATGTTAAGGCTGTATGTTGTCATTCTGCTTATTCAAATTCTATGCAGAGTACATCATGTGAAATGCTGGGCTGGATGAATCCCAAGCTGGAATCAAGATTGCCTGGAGAAACAACAACAACCTCAGATGTGCAGATGATAGCACCTGAATGGCAGAAAGTGAAGAGGAACTAAAAAGCCTCTCGTGGAAGGTGAAGAAACAGAGTGAAAATGCTGACTTAAAACTCAATTTGGAAAAACTAGGATTTTGGCATCCGGGGCCATTGCTTCATGGCAATAATATGGGAAATAGTGGAAACAGGCAGATTTTATTTTCTTGGCCTCCCAAATCACTGAGGAAGGTGACTGCAGCCGTTAAATTAAAATTAATTTTAATTAAGAAATGAAAAGATGCTTGCTCCTTTGAAGAAAAGCTAAAGAAAAGAAAAAAAATAATTTTACAGTGCCCTCTACATGTCTGAGTGAGAGGAAGAATCACACATCTTTCACTTTAAATCCAAGAGTAGAACTAGTTAAGCTTTGGGAAAAGACATGTCAAAAGCCAAGACAGGCCAGAAGCTAGGCCTTTTACATCAAACAGTTGGTCAAGTTGTGAAAGCAAAGGAAAAGTACTTAAAGGAAATCAAAATGGTCCTCCAGTGAACACATGCGTGATAAGAAAGCAAAACTGACCATCAAGGTCACGTGATAAAATTGGTTTGAGAAGAAAAAAGAAAGTTGCTGAGTAGGACATGCAATGCAAAGACATCACTTCGCCAGTAAAGGTTTGTCCAGTCAAAGCTATGGATTTTCCAGTAGTGATGCACATATGTGAGAGTTGGACCGTAAAGAAGGCTGAGTGGTGAAGAACTGATGCTTTTGAATTGTAGTGCTAGATAGGACTCTTGAGATTCCCTTGGACTGCAAGGAGTTGAAACCAGTCCATCCTAAAGGAAATCAACCCTGAATATTCATTGGTAGGACTGAAGCTGAAGATAAAACTCCAATACTTTGATTCCTGATGTGAAGGGCCAAGTCATTGGAAAAGACCCTGATGCTGGGAAAGATCGAGGGCAGGAGGAGAAGGGGACGACAGAGGATGAGATGGTTGGACGGCATCACCGACTCAATGGAGATGAGTTTGACAAAATTCCTCGAGATACTGAGACAGGGAAGCCTCATCTGCTGCAACCATGTCGCTGCAAAGGGGTGGACACGACTGAACGACTGAACAACAATTCACCATATGTGAACCGCTCAATCAGTGGCCAAAAGGCTACACTTTATCTTCTTTATTTGTAGGAATTCATTATCTATTCTGAATATGATCCTCTGACAATGGGGAACTAAATCTACTTTTCAAAACAGACGTAGTTTGTGTGGTGAAGTCTGGCTCCTCCTTGCAGAGGGGGAGGCATAGAGGAAGACAGCAGAGTCAGCACTGAGGGTGCAGATCTCGATGAAACAAAAAACGATTTTATTGCTCAAGTTCCAGAACATATCTTTGGATCCAGGTTATCAGGATACTGTTTAGGATCGACAGCTAGACTGCATGTTACTTTAAGAGCGTTCTTTTTATTCTCTGCTTCCACATTAAATGTAGCTGAATCATCAGTTCTATTTAATCCCGGAAGGTGGAAAAAAGGTGAAATGCCCTGAGTTCCCTCCTTGATTAGAAAAAGAAGCTTGAAGTATTGATATTTTTTATAATAGCGAAATACTGACTTAAATATTACTATACAAAATAAAATGACTAAAAGAGACATTCAGACATAATATTTTGATCTGTTGAAAATACTCTGAAGTTGTTTCTCTGACCATAGAAGGAATCCCTGAGTCCTGTAAGAGTAGATGGTATTTTTCTTCCATTATGACCATTTGCAACACTGAGATTGCCATACAGAGAAGAGTCTGATTTTTCTCAAACTAGAAGAAGACAGAAAGTGTCCTGTTTGAGGAGGTTTCTTGTTTTCAGTGCAGGGATTCCATCACTTCGCACCAAGAGAAAGAGGCCAAAGAGGATGGGAAGAAACAAAGAGACGGAGGAGGCTGTTCACCATGTGACCGGTCAGAAGACAATGAGCATCTGGGTCAGCACAACTGGAAGGCAGGCTCCGCATACTGGTCTGATCTCCTGGCTCTAAAGTGGACAGAAGGAGAACAAAGGCGGCCAAGCAANGGCCTCGCCCCTTCCCACAGTCTCTGCTGTGGGGCTCCTGCCTTGCCTGCTTGGCCCAAGCCACTTCCGGTGAGAACAGGCCTTTGGAGTTGGGTCTGCAAAGGCCTTCCTGCCCTTCCTCCTGGGATGAGAGCCCGGCCCCTCTCATCTTGGGCCCTGGGTGGGTCCCCTCCCCGCTGACACGTCATGAGGAGCCCCATGCTGCTCTCAGCCCCGGGAGTCCTGCCCTCGCCCTGAGCGCCTGCTGTTCTCACACCACCCGCCCTGGGCCCTGCCAGCCAGCAGTCTGTGCGCAGTCAGGGGAACGTGGCTAAACCCTTTTAACTTCAACAGGCCCCCAGCAACCCCCCACTTCCCACAATCATCTGACACTGAGGTGCTATCAGAACTGAGGCCTGAGCTTGTCTGAGTTCTTGCTCTCAGGTTATATGAGGTCTTATTCACCGGCTCATTTCCAGGATGAGGAGGTTCAGTGAGGGGCAGGGGTCGGCTGGGATTCAACTTCCCCCTCCTCACACCAGGCCCTGTGCCCCTGCCTTCCCTCTGACTTCTGCCCTCAGTACCTCTTCTTGTACAGGATACAGGCTATTATGATGCCCATTATGACGAAACTGGTTGCCCCGATGGCGATCCCTGTGGTGAGATCGATGGCTGTGGCCGTGGGCTGCACTGTAGGGGGGCCCGTGGTCGGTGATGCTGCAAGGAGAGTAAGAGTGACGCCCTTGTCCAGACCCCAAACTCGGCAGATGCCTCCACCCACCCCCACCCCAACTCAGGTACCCCTACTGTGCAGACAGTTTACACCCATCACATGGAGGCCCCAGTCACAGGTCCTCAGGTGAGATGGGGGAAGGGAGGAGCCCAGTCCTCAGGGGCTCTGACAGCTCATGGGGAGCAAGGTTTCCAACACAGCCACTCAGTCCTGCTGTGACATCAGAGACGGTGACGTGAGGATGGAGTCCTCAGGATCTGACAGCAGAGGTGGTGTTGACAGATTTCCAGAAGGAGGATTGGTGACATTTATTGGTTTATTTATTTATTTTTGATTGGTGAGATTGAAAAGAAGACTCTGGAAAGAGGGTACAGTGGGAAATAAATCCCAGAAATCAAAAAGATGTCTACAGGTTTGGGATCAGCAAAAATCCATGTTCAGTCGCAGAAAGGCTTGTGCTGTGAAGAGAGACATCAGGAGGGGGAAGAGGAAGGAGGATGACAGAGCATCCCCAGGTCATTGTTCTCCCAGGACAACTCACCTCTGATGGATCAGTTTCTCAAACACACACACACACACACACACACACACACAGGGTCCATGTCACCACAAGGGGACTGTCACTTTCTCCTCCCTTCTCACTTACCCGTGGTTTTCAATATTTTCTCCCAGTGCACCATGAAAGCCTGAAGCCAGGTCCGACAGTCTCCCATAGAGACCTTCTTCAGGAACTCGGTCACAGCTCTGTCATTCTCCCACTTCTCTTTCATCCATCTGCACCCAGGGTGATCCACTCTCCAGTGCCCATTCTCCGAATCAAAGTGGAGGCTCATTAGTCCATTCAAGCCAAACTGCCAGGATCCACTGATGTGTCTCTCATCCTCACAGCGACATGTCATCCTGGCCTGCAGGGTGAGAGGGTCTGCTCCCACCGTGGGAAAGAAAGAGCTCAGCCTCTGCGCTTGACAGATTCTTTGCCCCACCTGGGTCCACCTCCCCTGGGTCCCCTGGGTCCAGCTGATCTGGCCCTGGTCTCTCATGCAACAGCTGCTCTTTTCACTGGACGACTAGGGAAGGACAAATATCCAACTGCATTTTAAGCCCCATCTGCTCCTCCTGTACTTGGATTTTCTAACTCACCCGTGACCATGGGTTTCTCCAGTGTAAAGTCACGCAGGTGGTCCCTGATGTCTCTGAGTGTTTCCATCTGTGTTTCCCAGGTCTTTATGGTTTTCACTTCTTCTCCCAGTGGACTTGTGAATATGATCTTAGCATGACCACAGTCATAGGAGAGAAAAAGCTCTCCGTCCACCTGGCCTTGAACCTCACACCACAGCTCTCCAGGTCTGGGCTGAGGATCGATGGTGAAGTTATAGGACAGAGAGTGAGCATCTGTGAAAGTAAACCGCAGAGAGGGTGAGGGTGGGAGAAGACCCGTGGGCCTCCTCCCCCAGGGCTGTGAGAGCAGAGGAAGGCTGTGGGCTGGGCTGACAGAGCAGGACCCCTGCCTGCCCCCCCGCCCACCAGGCACGACTGAGGAAGGCGACGAAGCCTCAGGCAGGCAAGACACCCCACAGCCCTGGATGCGCCCCATTTCCACTCTGCTCACAGGCTCCGCACGTGGCATGAACCAACACATACGTTTCCCAGGGATAGGCCTGGCTGGTTCAGAAGGAAAGGCCCAAACCCACAGGATGTCAGGTTCTCTCTGAGTATCTGTGGGAGATGCAGAGGGTAAGGGGGCTGTTCCTGAGGAAGCGGATCACAGCCAGTGGGGGTGTGGGTGGGGAGGATGAGCACAGAACCCAAAGCTGGAGAAGGGAGAGTTTATAATTATGGGTCACTGGGCTTAGCAAGGCCAGGGAGACGTGGTGATCTCCCACCAGGATGGGTCTTGGAAGCCTGGAGAAAGGCCTGGCCCACATGGCATGAAAGAGAAAGTCCAGAACTTCCGAGGCAGGTGGTAGAGGATGGGATCCAGGGCTCAGAGAAGTGAATCTGCCAGGGTGGACACGGTATGAAAAGGCAGGAAGGTGTGCAGTCCACCAGCTCCATGGGAAAGCCTGATGGACTCTGTGGAGCCTGAGAGGAAAGCGTGGATGAGAAGCATCTGCAATAGCTCAAGGCTGACTTTTGCAGAAGATCAGGGATGGTGGTAGGAGTGCTGTTCCTGTGGGCTTCCATCACGAACATAGATGGAAGTTGTGGAAAAATCAGATTCCAGGTGGGGGTGCTCTAGGTCAGCAGAATAGGGGTGACCCCTGCAGAGGTGCAGGGGTCAAAGTGATGAGAGAGTCTCAATGCCAGCCAGGGCCTGACTGCAGAGAATATGATGCTGGCTCATAGCACAGGGCGATCCGAAAGGCAAACAGATGGGCAGGAACCTAGATACAAACTGTACCATTGAAAGAATTAAAGAGAGGCAGCACACAAGGCTGGAAGCTCAGTAAGCCAAAAGCAGTCATCCCTACCAAACTTCTGTTCCAGGCACATTTTCTGGATCTGAGTCACTTCTCAGAAGGTATCACCGGAGAAAGAAACCACTTTCTAAAGAGGAGGGCCCTTTCATCACCACATCCAGTGCAAAAGTCCTTCCATTCTTTCCCAAAGAGCCACATGGTTATTGACTGGGATAAGTGAACCTGCAGAAGCAGAAACTACTCTCACATTCACATTGCACATAGTGGTTCTAATATCATGCACAGGAACCATAGCATCATCATGGTCCCCCAATTGTTGAGGCGATGCTCAGAGGACCAGGCTATCAATGGAGAGCAGTCCCAGGTTCTGCTTACAGTGGTTATCATCAGGTCCACAGACCACGGAGTGGTCATTTCACATGCTCTGGACCTGTGACATTCATGGAGACCTTAGTAGCTAGTAAATTAACATGGGGTGAAGGCTACCGTATTGGTGAATTCCAGATTCAGACTTCAGACCCTACTTCCCCATCCCCTAATAGTACGTGTACACAATATCCTGGAGGAAATACAGAGACAAGTGCCAACATACAACCTCTCAAGGGCTGCAGGGCTGTGGTCACTATTCTATCTCCAGTTAATACCACTTGGCCTTAGGTTTCCTGTAATGGTACAGAAGACATATTTTAGGCTTCGCACACCCTAGGACTCTGCTGCAATCTGCTGTCCCAGCACAAAAGCAGTCACAATTGGTGAACGATGAGCATGGCTGGAGATGCTTCCTGGGCAGATGACCCAGCAGAACTACTGACATCAGAGGTATCTGTGGTCAGAAAGGTGCTTACAAGCCATTTTCTACTTGAAGGCTCACAACACAGACCCTGAGTGTTGCAGTGGAGAAAATCACACCATTGAAACGTGGCTCCTGGTGTGGTCCTGGGGCCTGGCAGAGATGAGGCCTCTGGTCATGGAATGGAGTTGCCCACCATGATGTGGGGTCATCAACCCCTAATCATTAGTTCAGCTAGGCCAGCCATCAGAGGATAGAAGTGGTTATGTGTTTTGGCATAAGCAGGACCACAGGGAACAACAAGACCCACGAGCAGCTGGCCTAGATGTGACACTAGAGCTGTTATGTGGCCACTATCTGCTCACACCTGTGGCTTCCCCTATGGCACTTTGGAACAAATAGCTACTCTGCAGCAAATGAGGGGGTTGGACAGTAGCCCATAACTGATGGATGGTTTTTAATCTTCCTAAGGAAAAGTACTGCATGTTGAAGATGAATCAACTCCAAAACTAGTGAAAGAAACCAAAACTTCAAAGGTGAATCAACTGCATTACCTTGTAGAATTCAGATAATAAAAAGCAGCTGGTAATATGATTGTTAGTCCAAATATGTGTGTTTAAACAATTTTAAAATCTATTTATTTTGTAAGAATATACCTGTACCTCTAAGGGAACTACGTGTAAAAGATTTACATAAACATTTTCAGTTCAAGCTAATAAAAGTGAGATTGAGAAAGTATTCCACATCAGTAAGTCTGTCTTAGAAAGTTTAGATGCTAAAGTATTCCTAAAGCTCGGTGTTCTGAAAGACAGATCTGCTTCTCTGATGCTGGGTTATGTACTTGACTGGCTGGCTCCAAGTGGGCCTTGAAAGGCACCTTCTTCCTGACGCTGGGGGACTGTTAGAAGAGGGTCAGACACAGGCCCCCAGGGCTACACGGACCTCTGTGAGACCCCGGGTCCTTAGCTGGAACTGCACCTCTCCTCTGGATCAAAAGCCCAGCACAAGCCATCACATAAATGGTTCATCAGGAGAGTTGATAGGCGGGGCTATTTGGTAACCCTCTTTCAGGTACTCGGCCACATCAAACGGGTAGATGTCCACTGAAGGGCATTTGGTCAGTTATAAACATGTGGGCTATCTAGTAGCAGCATGCTGACTTGTTAGTTGTTGCATACAGGATCTAGTTCCCCCACCAGGTATCGAACCCAGGCCCCTGCTTTGGGAGTGTGGAGTCTTAGCCACTGGATCACCAGGGAAGGATGGAGAACTCATCATTAACCAGACTTTCAAAAGTCATCCACATCTCGTGTTTTTGTTGTTCCCCAGACAGTGAGAGCCCATGGGGGACAAGACTCTGGAGAGGGACTGGCTTTGCTCTTAACTTGAAGTTGTTCAATGACAGAGCTCCTAGCTGCCAGGTCTTTGTGGAGGACTTCTTTCTGACCAGATAGCTCATTCCACAGGCAATCTGAACAGCCATGTGAACCAGCTTTTATTGAGAAGTTACCTGCGGACTGTTGGCCTCTACGTATTTGCACTGTCATAGAAACAATTTAAAGTACCCCCAGTTCAAGTAACGCAATCCACCATGGGGTTTTCTCCTTCTTCTGTTCACACATGGGTAATAGGAAGATTTCTGTGATGAAGATCTCGTAGCTTACAACTTTCAGGGAGCATCATTGTCACCTGAATTTCAGAAGCTTGATCTCTGTTTTTACAAATGCTTCTTACTCTTTATCTGGATATTTTTCATCTATATAACCCCCATGGAAGGTACACCAAAAGATACCTTCTTAGAATGTATCTTTTGAGTTTCTCTCTCTGGATAGATATTTTGATATCATTCACCATAGCTTTGGCCTAGAAAAGAGTGACACTTCTCAAGTCCTACTCCTCTACCCACAAGGTAGGATAACTGGAGATGGGAGCTGTATTGTTGGGTGTGTTGCCTCTCACCTACTGAGACATCTGGGAAGGACTGGGACTGAGATAGCCCTTGAGATCTACTGCTGGCGCTGATGCTATCTTCCAGTTCAATCCTTCTCACATTATGAAGATGCAAATCAGCTAATACTAGTGCTACAAGAAATATAACTGGACAGCAAATCCCTAGGCTGATACAAAACACACGTGTAGACATGGCTGGAGCTGCATGTACTGGGTCATAAATGGGCTCCTCTGCTGGTCGTTTTGTCCAAGGCTGAAGTTTTCCTTCCTCAATTTCTGGATGGCAACTTTTCCTTCGTTTCAACTCTAAGACTCTGAAGCTTTTTGAAGTTACTATCAAGTTGAGCTGCTATCAAGTTGAGCTGCATTTAGTGTCATTCCTTCAGAATCTACTTTGCCAGGACGGGACAGCTTGAGCCCAAACACTGATACAGTGCGTGGGAGTTCTGGGGGCAGGGGGCGCCTGGGCCGCAGACAGCCAGCAGACCCGAGCTGTACCAGCAGCAGCCCTCAGGATCCCCATCCCAGGGAGAGGGCCCTGCACATTCATACTGCTGTGAGCACCTGCCTCCACCACCCAGGAGAGGCTAGGCCACCTGCTGCCACCCACCCAGCCCGAGCCCTTGAAAGCTGAGTAGCTCCTACCCGGGCCACCCTGCCAGGATTAACTGATCCGTGATAAAGACCGCTGGTCCTTCAAGGGCCCAGAGCAGTAGGAAAGGGACATACTTTCTTCAGCAGTAGGAAGAAGGGACCAGAGAGCAGTAGGGAAGGGACCTGTGGTCCTTCAAGGGCAGAGAGCAGTAGGGAAGGAACCTAGTTCAGTTCATCAGTAGTAGGAAGGGACCAGAAGGGGCTCTGTGTGCAGATCATCAGTTCAGTTCAGTTGCTCAGTCGTGTCTGACTCTTTGCGACCCCATGAAGCGCAGCACGCCAGGCCTCCCTGTCCATCGCCAACTCCCGGAGTCCACCCAAACCCATGTTCCTTGTGTCGGTAATGCCACTGAACCATCTCATCCTCTGTCATCCCCTTCTCCTCCTGCCCTCAATCTTTCTCAGCATCAGGGTCTTCTCAAATGATTCACCTCTTCACATCAGGTGCCCAAAATATTGAAGTTTCAGCTTCAACATCAGTCCTTCAAATGAAAACCCAGGACTGGTCTCCTTTAGGATGGACTGGTTGGGTCTCCTTGCAGCCCAAGGGGCTCTAAAGAGTCTTCTCCAACACCACA